CAGTCTGCAGAATCCCCTCACTGATTACACTGTAAATGATAATCTACCTTAACCAAAATCAAAGTAGACTATCACTCACCCACACCAGATGGAAAACTCTACAGACTGTCGGTTCACACCCCATCACAAGCAACAACCAAGCAAAACATCCACGAAACAAAGAAAGGTCTGTCACAGCCAAAAAATACACTCCAGACACGCCGCTGGCATATATATATATTATATATATAGCTTTAGGCCCCTGCGCATTATTAGAAAAAAGAACAAAACATAACGAAAAACGGAACGAAAAGACAATCGTATAGCTCTTTTTTTTTTTTTTTTTTTTTTTTTTTTTTTTTCCGTATAGCTTTAGGCGGTCTCATCCGATGGGATGTTCGATGGTTTTCATGGCGCACAACTAGAATTTGCATCGGCGGTCTCTGCATGTGACAAATCATGAACTGAGTGAGAGCATACTCACCCACGAGCACTTTTCTAAATGCATCTGACAGCAATTACGGGCCGGAGCTGGATGCATCCAACTGCAATCACGTCCCAAAAAAAAAGAAGAAAAAGTCTTCTAGGGTGAGTACGCCCTGCGTATTCTCTCTGTTGCCTGTTTTATTTTTTGGTTACTATTTTTTTTTTTTTGGGGGGGGGGGAAAGTTATTCTTTTTCCCTTTCCATGCTAATCTTCTTCTCGGTATCATACCAATTTTAAAATTTTAACGGATGTCCGAACGACAAGAGGACATCCCTATTTTTTTTTTCTTCTCTTATGCCTATCTTTGGGCCAGTTGCACGACTCGTCTGAGTCGTCTTCCATCAATAGTTTGAACGCATCTGGACTCCTCTTTGTCCAGATGCATTCAAAATGTTGGCGGATGCCTCGCAGCTGCAACCTGTGCTCTGCTTCGTCGGTGCGTGCCGCGTGCGTGTACTAGACAATTATCCGCGCACAAAGAAGCGCGAGTGTTGGTATTTCTCTTTTATTTTCTTTTTTTATCATCGTCGTCTGGTGCAAATAATAATCCGCCGTTGACATGTTCGCTGTCCGATCTCATCTTTGGTAGGAGTCCTTGGGCGTGGTCCCACTAGCAAAGAGGATCGGATCGAATGCCTGAATCTGGTCGAGGTTATGGAGATGTGCAGGAAATCGAGATTGAACTGCTCTTCTGCATCTCCACATAAAACACATCCAAATTCAGGAGCTCGATCCTATCCTTCTTGCTAGTGGGAACTCGGCCCTTCAGTCACTTTAAAAAGGTTTGGAGCGAAGATCGGTAGATTTTTTCTTCTTTTTTTTTCCGGAAAAAAGATGAGCATTCCATTCATTTAAACTATATATATATATATATATATATAAATATATATATATAATATAAACTATATATATATATCGTCAAATAGAACTGCCCGGTAAACCGTAGGCAGAGAGGGAGAAGAGAGAAGAGGACAACAAACGAGGGGCTGTGACAAACTGTTTCGTCGGAGTTTCACCGACTCATCAGGAATATAAACTATATATATATATATATATGTATGTATGTATATATATATAGACCGAAGTTTAGGAATTGCCGCGTCAGCAGAGCCTATCCTAGTGTCCTGCCTACCTGGCGTTTGCAGATGACTGCACTGACCATGGGTCTCGCTCCACTACTCTCCAAATGTGCAGAATGAGACTGAAATTCACTGAATCGTACGCTAGAACATGGAAAGATACATGTCCATATTTTTTTTTTGTCTTTTGTGCAAGTGGAGAGTAGTGGAGCGACGCCCCATGTCTCGTCCGAACGAACCGCAAGTAGATAGGCGCGTAGTCGTTCTGGAAAGGCCATACGAGCATTCTGAGAACGCCAGTCATCAAGGGAGCGATCAAATGCGATACAAGAGAGTGCGTCCAGCGTTTGGCAAGCAAGGACGAAGGGCGAAGAAGGTAGGTACTAGGT